AAAAAAAAAAAAAAAGCAACCTGCAAAATCACAATCAAATCGGAATGAACCTTTTGCATCAAGTGCTTCGCTTTCAAATTTTAATATTTTAATTTAATTTATTAAAAATTCAACTCCGTTTAAAACAAAAAATCCTTCATTCCTCTCATGTTCCTCCAATGCTCAAAAAAAAATTCATAATAAAAACAATCAAATGTCCGCCGTCACGATCGAAAGAAATCGATTTTGCACGTGGTTGTCTCCGCACCACCGGCCAACCTGCCATCAGAGCTACCCGATGGGACTTTCAAATCACACTCAATCTAGGGCTTAAATCTCCACGTCTTCAATCTCCCCAACTTTAACCTAATTGTGAAATTCAATTTCACATCAATACCGTAAACCCCATAATTCTTCTCAAATTAAAATTTTAATTTATTTTAAAAATCAAAATTAATATATGTATTTTTAAAAAAATTAAAAAATTAAGATAAATTTTTTATAATTAGATAATTAATTAAAGTAAAAAAATAATTATAAAATTAAAATAAAAAATAATTATTATTTTAATAAAAAAATATAAAATATATTTTTATTAAAAATATTTTATTAAATTTATAAATTAAATTATATTTTTAATGTATAATTTAAGTTATAAAAATACTTTTATCGTAAAGTGGGATTTTAAAATCTTTGTATTTTCAAAATTTAAACGGTATAGCCGGAATTTTTTTTTCTTTGAACCTCTAGTAAATGAGCAAAGAGCTGGATTAGTATCAATACCTTTTAGTTTTACAAATTTAAATCTCATCAGTCTGAACCACAACGCCAATTGCCAAAGCATATACGGTAGCTTCCGATGGACACCAAAAAAAAAAAAAAAAAAAAAAAACAAACCAAAGGAACCAAAGTAGGCAGTAATTATCATTTAGATTTTTTTAAGGGTTAAGGCCATCTATCGTCCCTCTATTATCAAAAATAGTGCATTCTAAACCTTCTACTATAGATTGGCTTCATGTCGTCCTTCTACTATCAATTAACTCTACCTATCATCCTTCTACAATGCAAAAGCATGCAAATGTCGTCCCTCCGTCCAATTAAGCTAACAGTCTTGTTTATTGACCGTTAAGTGCAAACGGTCACACCCGGTTAGGCCCTTTTTTATTTTTATTTTTATTTTTTTGCCACCTTGCCTTGTGGGCCCCACCTCATCTCCCACAAAATTTTTTTGCCTTTTCCGAGACTTCCCGTTACCTCCCCAACATGGATCCTACAAGCGGGCGGGAACTCAATCCCATTTTCTATTTATTTTGCCTCTAAAAATTCTCAAGTTTCTATATCTTTAGAACAATTTTTAACTTTTACAATCACACTTGAGATTTGAGTTTTAGAATCTCTGCACAAGGAAAAGGAAAAGGGACGAAAAGGCAAGATCAATAGCAGCAAAGCAGAGAATAGCTTTAGAGGTATACAATAAAAATGGAGTTTTTTATGTTTGTGGTTAATTAATTTAATGAAGGATTTGTGGAGATTAGTAAAATAATCTTAGTTTAGGTTTTTAATTGGGGTTAGTTGACTCAATTGTCAATGGTAACCATTAGTTTGTTAGATTACAATGCATTTTGAATGAATTCTTTTGTTATTTTCTGATAATTTGTGTTGATTCTTTAGGCATTTTCTGTAATGGGAACCATGTAAGTAGGAATGTATCTACACATCAGGGCCAAATTTGTTAAAGATCCATATTTGAGGTACCTTTCAGAGTATGTGGTTTGACTATATTAACATAGATGTTGCTGGATTTAGAACTAAACTACAAGGCTTAAATATTGACATTGATGGAATGAGTGATTTTGTTTGGTATAATCACCCAAGGAAGAAACTTGAAAATGGACTTGTTTTAATAGTGTCTAATGAATCGGTTAATGACATGTTCCAACTACTTTTTGAACATGGATATATAAATGTCTATATGGAGCATGAGGTAGAGGTATTAAAACAATTAGGCAAATCTGGGCCCCACAATGGTAGTGGGGCATCTTCAGTAAATGTTGTTGTGGGGGCTTCTGAGGTGGTGGGAGGTTATGTTGTAAATTTGCATAGATCAGAGCCTTTTTTAAATGATGAAGAAGTCCTTGGTTGTCTCACTCAAGATAGGCTCATATCAGGAGAACAAGCCATTACTACTGTAAGAGAACAAACCAATACTATAGCAGCAAGCTTAAGTCGAACAGTGCAGGAGGCAAGACTTAGTGGTGATGAGTTCATAGATGTTCCTTAGCTAACTAATAACGAGGATGAAGAATGGCAAGAGGCAAGGAAACAAAATAGGCTACTAAGGTTAATCTGGTGGCAGGTTTGAAGGGGAATAAGAAACAGCATTGTTATTATTTGACCCAACACAAGATGTTGCTGAAGAACATAGTGATTCCATTGATGTAGATGACAATCTTAGCTTTGTCACTACTAGTGATGATAGTGAGGTTGATGAAGCTAGAAGGAGGAGGTCACAACACAAGATCTTTGATGACACTTTCCTCATTCCAGAATTTGAAATTGGTATGATTTTTGCAAGCACCCAGCAATTTAAGGATGCTGTTCTTGCACTATCAATTTACATAAAAAGAGAAACTGTTTTGATAAAAAATGATAGAAGGAGGGTGTGAGTTGCATGTGTGGATAAAAGGTGTGATTGGACTCTTTTATTGTCAATAGATTCTAGAATGAGGAGTTGGATGATAAAAATATATAAGGATGAGCATACTTGTGGTTTTAGTTGGAGAAACAAGAGAGTTAATGCTACAACAGTGGCTAGGCATTTTATTAAAACTAGGGGTTATTCTGCATTGACTCTTTCTCATCCTAATATCCAGCAAGGTATGCATGAAGAACTACATCTTGAGATTACTATTAGTCAAGCTCGGAGAGCAAAGCAGCTCATTATTAAGGAGTTTCAAGGTGATTGCAAGAAGGAATATAGTAAGTTATTTGATTATAGACGAGAAATATTGACAAGAAATCAAACAAGCACAGTTGAGATTTATGCAGAAAGGCCAACACCTGATTCGAATCCTGTTTTCATAAGGTTTTATGTATGTTTTTTTTGCTTTGAGAAAAGGTTTTTTAACTGGGTGCAGACCTATTATTGGTCTTGATGGAGCTTTCCTCAAAGGTCCAACCAAGGGACAATTGCTATTAGTAGTAGCTAGAGATCCAAATAACCAAATGTATCCAGTAGCTTAGGCTATAGTAGAATGTGAAAGAATAGACAGCTGGACATGGTTCCTAGAACTTTTAGGGGCTGACTTGATGATAGGTGATGGAGAAATTTTTATCTGATCAGCAAAAAGTATGTGAGTTTATTTTGTTTTTCCATCAATTTTGTTTTTTCTATAATTTTTTGTTCCACAAAAAGTTTATTTCTTGTTTTTTAATTTGGAAATAGGGTCTAATTAATGCAATCCAAAGCTTATTCCCTAGAGCTGCACATAGGAGATGCGCTAGGCATATATATGCAAATTTTAGAAAGCATCATAAGGGTAAGCAATTACAAAAATGGTTCTGGATAATTGCTAAATCAACTATTGTTGCAGAATTCAGGAGAAATATGGAAGAAATTAATAAGTTGAACCCTGCAGCAAAATAGTACCTCATGCAATATGATCCAAAGTATTGGTGCAAGGCATTCCTTGATACTCATTGCAAATGTGATGCTGTTGATAACAATATGTGTGAGACCTTCAATGGATTTATTCTTGATGCAAGGCAAAAGGCTGCTATGTCTTTGTTGGAGAATTTGGTCCAAAAATTTGGGAGAAGATTGAGGAGCATAGGGCTGCAATGTCTAGGTGTTATATGTTATCTAGAGCCCTTGTGGAATATGAGATCAAAGAAAGAAATGACTCATTTGTGGTCAATGTGCATGGCCATACATGCACTTGTAGGGTATGGCAACTCAATGGCATTCCTTGTAAACATGCCATGCTTGCCATCCAAAATAGAGAGGAAAACTTCGAAGACTATGTGCACCCTTACTACAGAAGACAAGCATACATTAACACATACAAGCACTACATAATTCCTTTAGATGAAATGGAAAGATGGGAAGAAACAGGCATGCCTCCACTTGATCCACCAGTGGAAAGGAAGACGACAGGCAAACCTAAAAAGAAAAAGCATTTAGAAGATTGGGAAATTTCTAATGGATCTAACATTAGCAGAAAGGGTAAGATCATGAGCTATCAAGTAGGCTTCAAACAAGGCCACAATTCCAGAACTTGTCCATCCAAAAAGCCAAAAAAATGTAAGTGTAATCTCATTTAGATTGCATAATACACTTAAGATTATTTATTACCTAACAGTTTTAGATAACTAAAGTTGAGTTTTTTCATTTAAAGAACAGGCTAAAGAGTCATTATCCACTCAAGCAAATGTTGTGAATAACATTCCCATAGTAGTTGAGATGCCTATTGGAGATGCAAAAGTTGTTGGAGGTGTTGAAATGCAACTTCAACTAGAAAATCAACAAGTTGCTGGAGGTGTTCAACTGCAAATGCAACCAAAAAAGGAACTACTTGTTACTGATGGTCAACTGCAACTTCATGTAGAAAATCAACTACTTGCTGTTGATGTTCAACAAAAAAAATCAGCTACTTGCTATTGATGTGCAAGATCAAACTGGTAATGTCAATTCAAATTTAATGGGAATTCAACAAGCCAAAAAAGGAAGGAAAAAAGATGCCAACAATTATATCCAGTGTCCACCTGATCTACCACAAGAGTTCATACGAAAATGTCAACACAAAAGAAAGGCAAAACCCATAATTAAAGAACCAGTTGTTGAATCTGGGAGTGGCACAATTAATATTGAAGTCAATGAAGGTACAAGTCATGGTCAGCAAGTGCATGTGCATGGTAAGGGGAAAGCTGCCCATGGCAACAAGGGGAAAGTCGTCCAAACCACCAAAAAGGTGATTTCTCATTTTAAATTATGTTCATCATAACATAAGTTTTCATTTTTTATATTTATATTGCTACTTTAATATCGATAATTTAATTTCAGGTTAAAGAAAGTTGTAAGAAAAGGACCACATTTGAAGGATATGGGGCCTATTTCAACATAGAGATTGGATTGTGTATTTTAGATGTAAGATTTTAATCTTGTTACAAATTAATTCATTTTTTTTTGTTATATTTCTTTGATGTGGTACTAAGTCTTTTCATTTCTATGTATTTTCATTTTTGTGCTCTCTTTTCTATTGTTCATTAGCCTGGATAGAAAAGTAGAAGAATCCTCTCAATCCCAAGGAAAAAACCAAAAGTTTTTGCAAAGGCTCCTGTGGAGTCTACTATTCACGCCCCTACTTCAAATTTGCATGAGTTCTTCAATATTGAAAGTGTTTCAATCCAAAAGTCAATGAGGAACTCTCAACCCCCACTACAATATGGAAATGAGTCCTCCTCTAGGTAGCAACAAGGATCCAAACAAAAAGAGATTGTTACATATCAATAATTAGAGGTAATTTAATTAGTTTATAATATCAAAATTTCATCTATTTAATCTTATTCATGGCATAGGATTTTTTATTTTGGACCATACTTGTTGGTAGGCACAAAGGTTTGCAAGACTCAGGGCAATGGAGCAACATAGATTGGATGAAATGGAGTTGGCAAATTGGAGTGCTCTGATTCAAGCTATGGGTTCTATTGATGATGGAAACAATTGTCCTTAAAGTATTTTAGGGTGTATTTTGGTTGTTATAACTAGTTACAAAAGTACCAGTCAAGCCATATTTCTGGATTTTTGTGGAACTTAATCATAGGCAGGCAGCATGTATCAAGGCAGAAACTTGGCTTTTTTTTTTCTTTTTTTTTTTTTTTTACAGACTCTATATGTGATGGGAAACTTCATTCTTGTTTATATAATATCAATATATCAGTTTATGATATATGGTTAAATGATTGCTTTGTGCAAATTATTTTCTTGCAATTATAGAAAAGTTTTGCCATTTCATTTCCAATTTATGTAATAGCAATATACCAATGCAAATTATTTTTCTATGACTGTAGAAAAGCTTTGCCATTTCATTTTCAGTTTATGCAATAGCAATATATCAGTTTATGATATATCAGTTTATGATACTGCTACAGAAGAAACAGGAATCACTACTGCAGGAATGGGATTTTCAAACCGAAATATCAGTCCGGATATATAGGAAATCGGTCTGAATATATATATACGGACCGATATTGGTCCTTATAGTTGATCTGAAAAAACCTGGTACGAATAAGTGTAATATACAGACCGACGTATAATCGGTTCGTATATATACTATTCGGACCGAAATCGGTCAGGATATTTCAGTAAGAAATATAAATAATTATTGAGAAATTGAAATAAACGGACCGAAATTGGTCCCAAAAAAATAATATAATAAAATAATAAAATATATACGAACCGACAACGGTCTGTAACTGTAGCGGGAAGAGGCATCGCAAATATATACGGACTGGGATCGGTCCGAATATAGGCAATCCGAGGGATTTTTTTATCTTAAAGCTAAATTAAATTTAGTACGAATATATACGGACCGGTATTGGTTTGAATATATGCAAAGAATCCAGAAGCTTCCATGCTTTTCATTTTTCAGACCGATTTTGGTCCGAATATAGTAGAAAAAATCCAGAAACTTCTTCCAGTGCACATTTTTATTCTTTTCATTTAAGGACATTACCATCTTTTCATGTTCTAAATCCATTTCTGCGAAAACCAATTGCATGTATATCGACCCTACAGTCCCTTGGAACCACAAAACCATCGATTGTCTAACTGAAATTATCTTACGATACTACGGAGTAATATCGTTGCAAAACTACGAACGTATAAGTTAAAGGTTATTAGAGATAATGTTATGTAATGCTCTTTCGGAGCAATAAGCAAATAAAATTAATTATTTTTATTTAGGTCAACCACTTTGGTTTGCAAACATTCAGAATGTTATGGTTTTAAACGAGAGTAGAACGATTTAATAATGAAATAAAAAATAAAATAAAAAGCTGTTGTTCAGAGGCATATACAAACCGATCTCGGTCTGTATATATACAGACCGGAATCGGTCCGAATATAAGACTGTATATACTGGGAAAAAAATCTACAGTTCACGAAATGTAACCAACGGAGGAGAGGGAAAGCTGTTGTGAGGTCATATACGGACCGATACCGGTCCGTATATATTATCTACAGCCCACCACCAATAGAGCATAAAGAAAACTAATTTATTTTATTTAATAATTTTATAATATTACCAAATAATGCAAAAATATATTTTACCATTCAAATTA